GGCCAAGGCTACAGGCCAAGGCTACAGGCCAAGGCTACAGGCCAAGGCTACAGGCCAAGGCTACAGGCCAAGGCTACAGGCCAAGGCTACAGGCCAAGGCTACAGGCCAAGGCTACAGGCCAAGGCTACAGGCCAAGGCTACAGGCCAAGGCTACAGGCCAAGGCTAGGCCAAGGCTTGTAGTGTAAACACGACTATAGTGTATACACTGTACACAATATAGTCTCAATGCTAAGTCGTGTTTACACTACCAGCCTTGGCCTACATTTTGACAATGTAAACAAACTTCGGCCTAGCCTTGGCTTGACCTAGGCCACGAAATCTGGGCCCACTACAACCGGTGGCCTACTAGGCCTGGCCTAGGCCTAGGCTTGTGGAAATGTAAACACTTTCGGCCCTGGCCGGGGCCTTATTTTCATGGCAACGTGTGTCCACAGTGAGAGATTAGCGGACAACCAGCGGACAACGTCACAACACATAAAAATACACAAAATTAATTATAAAATTCTAGGCCAAAGGCAAAGTGAGCTAGTCTCAAAAAAATAGTATAATGGTGTAAACGCGCCACATTTACCTTGGCCAAGGCTTGTAGTGTAATGTTAGCCGTAGCGTTATAGTGCAAACGCGGCCTGGGTATTGAAATTAAATTTCTACTCGCAACTCTGCATCAAAATTGAGTGACTAAAGCATTTAATTTTACAAAACTTTATGTTTTCAGACTGAACTCGCAATGCTGTACGTTTTATTACCATCACTTTTATAATTTGGCTCAGCACTGAAAGACCTAGCGATGAGTAAATATTATAAAATATATAGTTTAGTGGTATAGTGGCGATGAATTCCGATAAGTTTATATGTCTGGCATTTGAAGCTTGAGGGAACATATGGACTCGACCAGGGGCAGATAGGAATTAGTTTTTAGTACTGATGAATGATGATTGTGGCGAAAAAATAATAAACTACTGCTTGAGGGAAGAGGAAAACCAAGTATAAAGAAGAGATTTGCAAATAGCTCTTTGACGAATCGGTCGATCGTTCGTGATCACTCATGCAATTCGTTGGTATTTCAGCTGAAATGGAGAATTTGAGAACCAGTCAACTGGTAAACGGGGGAAGCTATACAAGCATTATCCCAGTCAATTAAGCACATAAATGTTGTTTTATCACACTCAGGTTTGTAATGGTAAAAGGAGAAAAATTTCTTGCGTAGTAAAGCCAGACAATCCAACCAAAATTATGAACTGCCATGTTTGTAGATCATCCGAGGATGAGTTACATATGTCTGTAGTGTTTCGAAACAATGAATGATTCCGCGGCTATAGACTAAATTTTTATCTAGACAAGAAAGACGAAATCTATCATTATACCTCAAAAGAGCCGTCCTATAATTAGTAAAATTGTAAAGTTTGGTTGCGAAATGTTGTAAAATACGAAAAATATAGCCGTGTAAAATTTTGAGTATTTTAGAATTTAGTATTACGCGCAGAAAAATGCTGCACTTTTGAGCCGAAAGTGGTGATTTTCCGCTCGTATAATATATATACTAATTTAAAAATACTCAAAATTTGCTCATTTCACAGGGCTATATTTTTCGTATTTTACAACCCAAACTTTGCAATTTTACTAATTTTAGGATGCTCTTTTGAGCTATAACTATAATGCTCTCTCTTCCGCCAGAGGGGTGGCTCTGCCAGATAATGCGACGAAGTATGGTTTTTGAACCAAACTAGTTGTTTGACCTTTTTTTAAACTTGAAATCGACGGAAATGTGAAAGAAATTGGAATGAATCTTCATAATCTGAGTATCGAAGTTCAATAGAGTCATTTTTATAAAGAAATGTTGCAATTAAGAGGATATTTATAATTAGATAGCTCGTATCCATTGATATTCGTTTGGAATTTCTCAATATTTTTCGATACAAATGGACAGAAGAAGATATTGATATTGAATTCACCCCATGATACTCAAGTATGCCTGAAAATGAAAGTCAAAAACATGTTTTAACACCCCCAATGGTTGATCGAACTTCACTACAAACGATTATATACGACACCATATTGATTGCATTAACTCGCAGAGGCTTCCCTTATTTAGCTCTTCCCATCACTCCTTGCGCGCTCACTTTTCCCTCACTAGAAACTTCATGTAAGCCTCTGCGGAGGAGAGAGAGCTATAATGATAGATTTCGTCTTTCTTGTCTAGATAAAAAATTAGTCGCTAGCTCGAATCATCCATTGGCGACTTCTACAGGGTGTACAAAGAAGAAAACCTGTTGTAGTATAATTGAACCACGCTAAGCGAGTACGGATGCGTAAAATATTGACAGTTACGTGCATATATTAACGGCTTATTGACCGAGCGTGAGGTCTGTACTGTGAAATATCAGACCGAGGTTTTCTAGTATGGATCGAGCGACGAAAGAGCGAGGTCCATGCAAAAAACAGAGGTCTGATATTACACAGTACAGACCGAACAAGCGAGGTCAATAATCGGTTTATTATATGGCTGAACTGAGTCTGTGAGCATATATGCTTTTCGCGCGAATTAAATCGGCTATCGTCAGTTTCACTGGGTAACAATATACAGTAGGCATGCATGCATGCTCAATCAAAAACAATTTGGTTGTTTGGAATTTTAAAATATAAATTTTAGTGACACACAATTGGAAAATTAAAAAGCAAAATTTTTTTCTGTTTGCAAAGCAAAAATTTCCCGCCAGATAAACGACATCCGGGACACCGGTCCAGATACGGAAAATACGGACCACGGTCCGGATATGGGTTTTTACGGACCGCTTGTCAACCAATCAGAATAGAGAATTTTGAAAAGCCATATAATAATACAATATATTCGCTGTATGCACAAGCGAACAGTACTTTGTGTTGAGAGAAATGGAGGCCGCGTCGAAGGACACGGTGCTTGATATTCTGATAGATGTAAAATAAATCATAAGGTTTTATTTGATACTTGCATTAATTAAGGCTTAAGCGCTACGTTGAAATGGAAAATCTTTTAAATAATTTGCCGTGCATAAAATTCAAACAGACTTGACACTCGAACAGACTTGGCCTCGTAGTTCAGTTAGCAGAGCATTGGACTAGTATCCCAAAGGTCGCGGGTTCGATTCCCACCGTGGCCAAGCTAACTTTTCAGCTTGCTCGGTGTGGATGCACACTCAGAGTAACATCACAACAATATATACATCACAACAAATTATAACAATAGGCTAATTTCTAAAGGTCTTCTTTTTTTATACACACTGTATTGAAGACCATTGAAGAAAATATCGACTGGGTATTGATGAAATATTGAAATTGCGTCTGAAAATAATATGAATGACAGTAATACGTCATTAATTCCCCCCATTTGGTGCAACCTCGTACCCAAGGCCTTTGCGCGGTTCAGAGGCTCTGGTTCCCGTACCAGAGCCTCTGAACCGCGCAAAGGCCCTGGGTACGAGGTTGCATTTGGTGTTGATGAAACTACATCCATTGGTAATTATGGTAAAACATATGCAAAAGCATCATCAACACATTTATCTACAAGTGAGATTATATTATCATTGCCAAATGATATTATATTTGGCCTGTTTTATACGTCGAATTTCGGTCGCGTCGAATGCAATTTAAACAATAGATGGTGAAACTTAATGAGGTTTATCATCTCATTATCTATTGTCTTAATTGCATTCGACGCGACCAACACCGATAACTTTGATCCTAGTTAAAATTTTCCAAATATTTAGAAGCTCTATAACATTTTGAGTTATTTTTTCTGCATATCTTTCAAAATTTGCCCTCATTGGCTGTTTTATTAACTTTCAAAATCTAAAAAATCGCGTCGCGTTGTCGAATCGCGTCCGGTCTGTCTGGACCTTAAGAGTGCTTAAGCTTCGCGTTCAACGACAAACGTCAGGCAAAGAAAAATTTTACGCTATAAAGCAATAAAAAGTAAATGGGCTTGTTGTTTTATAACTAGAATGCTTAACTATTCCTGTGTCATATGAAAGAAAATATTACACGCAGAAATCGAACGAAAATTATGTGAAGCCACTATTTATATACTTTAAAGTTATTGTTGTGTGTTTTTTTAAGTTTATCAATTGTGGTAAATAAATTGACTTGACTAGAAATAGGGTTTCATTCTGATGCAACTTCAACTTAAATTCCTCCTCTGTAGACTCAGACTTCTACCGCGCCTTCTGCGAAATGTGTCTTCAATTGACATGTCGACATCGATTCTTGGTGAGAAGATTGAAGTCCCGTTTTGTATCGCACCAACTGGCATGCACAAATTTGCCCATCCCGAAGGCGAACTGGCCACAGCAAGAGGTTGGTATATATTTAAGAAAGCGGTACGTTACACACAATGAACTCTACGGTTTCTCTGGAAAAGTGCATTCATATAAAGCGCGACTACACTAATAATATGATTTTTGGTATGTGTAATATTTGGGTCATTCGAGGAAGAAATGTAATATATCTTTATAATAAAAAATCTCACTTGACCAACTTTTTCACTGTCAAAGTTTCCGGATATGATGTCATTTGATGAATTGCAGATTAGTTTTCCTTTGTCTTTTGTACCAAAAATTCACCTAATGACATCATATCTAGAACTTTGACAGTGAAAAAGTTGATCAACATGAGTTTTTTTGCTATGAAGATACATAACATTACATCTGGTTTTTATAAATGAATGCAAAGCCCAACAGATACGAAATGAACACCAGGACCGTTTTTAACGATTTCTTTTGAGAGCGATTGTTTTTACGGTATGTGAATATGAATATACAACCCCCAATTGTCGCGTCTAGTTACGGCGCTGCACAAGCTTTAAGAAAAAGCAGATTAAAGCCGTCATGATTAACCAATCTTTAGGCACGCTTATTTAGAGGGATTCATGAGGAAAAGACGAAGAAAAATCATAAACGTGTCGTATCTTTATATGTGATAGAGATTTCCCTTGATTCACATAAACTTTTACTTTGTTTATCTCGACTTACACAACGCATTTTTTGAAAATTACTTCGCCAATGAACTTACTAGATCGATCGTTTTTGAAGCAATTTAAAACATTCGCAGTGCGTGTTTTATCAGACCTAAAGATACTCGGCTTCGCTTCGTATATTTATATCTGATAAAACACTGCTGCTCATGTTTTAAATAGTACTTGTAAAATTCATGAATAATTAATAAGGCGACAAACAAATCACGATGCGATATTTAGGTCACATGTGCACACTTGTAAACTGCATTAAAAGATCAGGACTAATTGAGAAGCATTGGATGTTAATGAAAGTTAGCAATACTAATTTAAGTTTTCATAGCATGCTAATGAAGTTTGAGATTGTCCCCATGGGCTGAGAATACCAATGAAGTAAACAACGTTACTGATCTTTATGGGCATTTAACAATGGCTAGCGCTGCGCGCTCGCCATTGTAAATGCCCATAAAGATCAGCTGCTGATACTTTAACTAGTACTTAAATTTCTCTTCACAGCAAGCTCTGCTATTCGCACGTGCATGGTGCTAAGTTGCTGGTCAACCACCAATCTAGAAGATGTCGCCTCAAGCGCTACTGGACTGAAATGGTTTCAAATAGACATTCTTACAAATCGAAATGTTATGGCAAGTCTCATAAAGCGTGCCAAGACCGTCGGGTACAAAGCAATCGTGTTGACTCTCGACATGCCAGTCGTTGGCAAACGATACAAAAATTTCAGATGTACGTTTACCGTCCCACCACATCCTAATTTGAAAGAAGCGTTGCAATCCGAGAATGTGTCCATGGTCTCGCCCGATGCTAAACATAGACTTCACGACCCATCGGCAACATGGGATACACTGGTTCCTTGGGTGAAGTCGATGACGTCATTACCAGTGGTGGTGAAAGGTATACTAACCATTGAAGATGCGAAGTTAGCAGTGAAGTACGGTGTTGATGGTATCATTGTTTCAAATCATGGTGGACGACAGTTAGACTGTGTTCCAGCGACGGTAAAAACACATTTTCGTATTCTGATCCTACTCGCGTTCGGCACATCCTATCCATCCAAAATTCATGCAGTCTTTGACAAATCACATTGCTTATTGTTGATCACGTAACAATAGTTGAACCCTTGTAAATTCACTTCTTCAATGGGCGACTCCAGCTATAGACTAAATTTTGATCAAGGCAAGAAGAACGAAATTCAACATCACAGCTAGAAAGAGCGTCTTAGAATGAGAAAAACTGCAAAGATTGGTTGCTAAATGTTGTGAAATAAAGAAAATATAGCCCTGTACAATTCGCAAATTTTGTATATATTTGCATTACGCGCGGTAAAACAATATTGGGAACACCATATTGATATGATTATTAAATTAAGAAAGTTAATGCAGGCATTCAGGCCTTAAAATATCTTTTACAGTGCCGTCTGACAAAATGTCCGATGACTTTTAGTTTGGGTCGGACATATATAAGATGATGTCCGATGACCTTCAGTTTAGTTTGGCTCGGAAATGAGTCTGAATGACACAAATTAATATCAGCACAATGTATTATTATTAATTCTGAACTAAATATTGTGAAGATTTTCAATAATTTGTGTCATTCGTACTTATTTCCAAGCCAGGATTAACTTGCTTGCCAATAATAGGAGTGCGACTTCGACAATTTAAGCCCGTTTTCCACTGCGCCATTTCGCCGCTGCCCCGCGCTCAATGACATTATTATTAAAAACAACATTTTCCGGTTCATTTTTATACAATACTCTGGTTCTCCATTTATAACATACCAGCCTCTAGTCTTGGACTAGGGTACATTTTGATTTACGTGCGTGGAGAAAGCGTCGGACAAAGCTACAGTTCGGTCGGACACAATACATGCGGGTCGGACAAAGAATAAACCTCAGTTTCACTTAGGTCGGACAGAATGTCCGGGGTTTCCTCTCTACGTTGGACAATCTGACGAATGGTCGGACAATGTCCGTGACCGACCGATATTTTAAGACCTGAGCATTGCAGTAATTAAACGAATGAAAACCTGTGTTCCTCAGGAATTCTTACAAACAGTTTACAACGCCTTAAAACAGGTCTATTTTAACTACTGCTGTCAATTGTGGGATACCTGTGGAATCGTCTTAAAGGAAAAACTACAAAAATGTCAATTCCGAGCTGCTAGAGTAATAACAGGAGCATCTTATGATATTAGGTCGGCCGATGTTCTTGCAACTTTGGGGTGGCAAACTCTTGACAATAGACGAAAATACTTGAAATCCATTTTTATTTACAAAATCTTAAATAATGAAACTGCAATTATAAACCAATTATACACCAATTAAGAAATTCTCAAACAGATCTGGTACTTCCATTCCCAAAATCAGAATTTAAGAAAAAGTCCTTCAGTTATAGTGTAGCAACTCTTTGGAATAACTTATCAATTACTGCAAAACAATCCAGTTCTATGAGTTGTTTCAAAAGACTAATGAAGCTACATTTTCGAAAGCGATAATTATGTAAATAGTCGCAACCAGACATTGCAATTTTACTCATTTTATGGTGCTCTTTCCAGCTATACTGTTAAAAATGTGTGTGATACTATTAAAAATTTCAAATATCCAGGTTCTGTAGTCGCGTCTTGAAAACAGAATTTTCTCTCTTTTAGATAGAAGTCCTACCTCAAATTGTTTCAGCCGTCGGTGACGATATCGAAGTCTATGTGGATGGCGGTGTGAGATTTGGTTCGGATATTTTCAAAGCTTTGGCTTTGGGAGCGAGAGCAGTGTTTGTAGGAAGGCCTATCTTATGGGGTCTGGCCTATCAGGTAAGAAGATCGGTTTCCGACATATGACAACTATTTGGCGAGATTATCACCAGGAAATTGATTCTACATATAAAACCAGCATATATGTACATGTGTTAATGCGCCAATGAGTCATAATGGTGTCTTGGAGCTTTGCATTTGCCTTAATTTTTTCCTTGGATAATATCATAGCTGCCTCGAAATCCTTTGTTTCGCGAGGGACGATTAATGACTAATTTCCTCATTGCAAAAAAATGAAGGACAATTAGAAATTAATTATCACACGGGACGATTAGTTACTCATCGTCCGTCATCTTTATGTGTAACCTGTTATATTGATGTTCAATTAAATATTTGCTAAAATCAACCGTAAACTCATTAACAAACATCCCAATAGTCATTAGTATCAAAAAGCAAGCGCGCCTTTTCATTTCAACTTATTCAATCGAATGAAACCGTTTTATTGTGTCGGTAGCTATGATATTACAAAGTGATATAGCATGGCATTACGGTCGATTAGTGATGAAATGTCCCTCAAGCCTCGAGAGGTTTAGTAAAAGGAGAGTCCTGAAGGGGGGGTCCCAATCCCATTTCCCACCTGAAATTTTGGCAAAATCCCAGTCCCAGTTGGATTTTTATTAGAAATCCCAGTCCCAGTTATTGAAATCCCAGTCAATAAAAAAACCTTTATTTAT